TGGACATTCTCATAGAGATCCCTGTGAGTGGACACTCTCATAGAGATCCCTGTGATTGGACATTCTCATAGAGATCCCTGTGAGTGGACATTCTCATCGAAAACCCTGTGATTGGACCTTTTCATAGAGATCCCTGTGATTGGACATTCTCATCGAGATCCCTGTGATTGGACCTTTTCATAGAGATCCCTGTGATTGGACATTCTCATAGAGATCCCTGTGATTGGACATTCTCATAGAGATCCCTGTGAGTGGACATTCTCATAGAGATCCCTGTGAATGGACATTCTCATAGAGATCCCTGTGATTGGACATTCTCATAGAGATCCCTGTGAGTGGACATTCTCATCGAAAACCCTGTAATTGGACCTTTTCATAGAGATCCCTGTGATTGGACATTCTCATGAGATCCCTGGAATGGACATTCTCATCGAGTCCCTGTGATTGGACATTCTCATAGAGATCCCTGTGATTGGATATGGACATTCATCATCGAGATCCCTGTGATCGGACATTCTCATAGAGATCCCTGTGATCGGACATTCTCATCGAAAACCCTGTGAGTGGACATTCTCATCGAGATCCCCCTGATCTGATTGGACATTCTCATAGAGATCCCTGTGATTGGACATTCTCATAGAGATCCCTGTGAGTGGACACTCTCATAGAGAACCCTGTGATTGGACATTCTCATAGAGAACCCTGTGATGGACATTCTCATAGAGATCCCTGTGATTGGACATTCTCATCGGGATCCCTGTGATGAACTGTTTTGCTGGCTCAGAGCATATGCGCACAATCTGAGCTGACAAGGGGATAGAGGGAGAAAGTGCGGGAAGGATATTCAATAAATTTTTTTTTTTTTAAACCGATTTATGTAAGGAGGGAGGCCAGGGGAGCACACAGCAGGAGAAAGAACATTCTTAACCTTGTATGTACTCTGCCTGCAAGGTACAAAAGTAATACGTCTGTCGCCAGCGAGCTGTGCACACTGACAACAGGTGTAAAATATACACAGAATTGACATTAAGCAGCCTGGTACCTGGCACGTAAGTGCAAATACCTGTGAATGTACAGCGTTTAAAGCAGAAACACCGCGCATCCAGTCTCCTACCACCATGACCACTTCAAATCACGGACGCGGTCATGGTGGTTGGAGAAGCCCTCTAAGAAACTGACTGGTTATTTAAATAAACAAGTTTCATTGATGTTTAATTTGTAGGATTAATAATACATATTTGCTTTCTCTTTGTTATTGTCTCTGGGCATGCATTCTGAAGGGACGCTCTGCGCGCAGCATTAGCTGAGGTACACGCTGTGGTTTGTGCAGGAGCCACGAACTCCACCACCGATTTGCTGAAACTGCAGTTTGTAATAAATCCCTGTTGACGGAGATCGTTATAACAAGGAATATAGCCGTGGGCAGCGGAGATATACAGCCAAGGATGTAGTTCACATTTCCCACCAGCAGGAGGCAATCCAAACCCTCAGACGAAACGGACAGTCCTGTGAAATGTCGGCAGCTGATACCGTACAGCAGATAAAGCTATTGAAGAAGAATGACACTGGTTTCAAGGGAGAGCTCCGGTAAGTATCCCTAACTACAGCCTCACAGTGACTCGCGGCACGCTGTGCAGGGATACCATCTTCAGGGATGTTTGTAAAACTTGTAATGAAACTTTAAGGTGACAAAGCTACGTTAAAGAGTCCAAACTATTCCAAACAATATTTATTTTCCTTTATATTGACCGATGGGGAATATCTAATAATTAATACCCTGGAATAAAGTTTTAACCTTACCTGACATTGAGCGACCGGCAAAGCCCCCGGTGCTGATCTTCACACATCATCCTGATGTCATGGCAGCAATCACTGTGATTGGACATTCTCATAGAGATCCCTGTGAATGGACATTCTCATAGAGATCCCTGTGAATGGACATTCTCATAGAGATCCCTGTGAATGGACATTCTCATCGAGATCCCTGTGATTGGACCTTTTCATAGAGAACCCTGTGATTGGACATTCTCATAGAGATCCCTGTGATTGGACATTCTCATAGAGAACCCTGTGAGTGCACACTCTCATAGAGATCCCTGTGAATGGACATTCTCATATGGAAACCTGTGAGTGGACCTTCTTATAGAGATCCCTGAGATTGGACATTTTCATAGAGATCACTGTGAATGGACATTCTCATCGAGAACCCTGTGATTGGACATTCTCATCGAGATCCCTGTGATTGGACATTCTCATAGAGATCCCTGTGATTGGACATTCTCATAGAGATCCCTGTGATTGGACATTCTCATAGAGATCCCTGTGAGTGGACATTCTCATAGAGATCCCTGTGATTGGACATTCTCATAGAGATCCCTGTGATTGGACATTCTCATAGAGATCCCTGTGAGTGGACATTCTCATCGAAAACCCTGTAATTGGACCTTTTCATAGAGATCCCTGTGATTGGACATTCTCATCGAGATCCCTGTGATTGGACCTTTTCATAGAGATCCCTGTGATTGGACATTCTCATAGAGATCCCTGTGATTGGACATTCTCATAGAGATCCCTGTGATTGGACATTCTCATAGAGAACCCTGTGAGTGCACCCTCTCATAGAGATCCCTGTGATTGGACATTCTCATAGAGAACCCTGTGAGTGCACACTCTCATAGAGATCCCTGTGATTGGACATTCTCATAGAGATCCCTGTGAGTGCACACTCTCATAGAGATCCCTGTAATTGGACATTCTCATAGAGATCCCTGTGATTGGGCATTCTCATAGAGATCCCTGTGATTGGACCTTTTCATAGAGATCCCTGTGATTGGACATTCTCATCGAGATCCCTGTGATTGGACCTTTTCATAGAGATCCCTGTGATTGGACATTCTCATAGAGAACCCTGTGAGTGCACACTCTCATAGAGACCCCTGTGATTGGACATTCTCATCGAGATCCCTGTGATTGGACCTTTTCATAGAGATCCCTGTGAGTGGACATTCTCATAGAGAACCCTGTGATTGGACATTCTCATAGAGATCCCTGTGATTGGACATTCTCATCGAGATCCCTGTGATTGGACCTTTTCATAGAGATCCCTGTGATTGCACATTCTTATAGAGATCCCTGTGAATGGACATTCTCATAGAGATCCCTGTGAGTGGACATTCTCATCGAAAACCCTGTAATTGGACCTTTTCATAGAGATCCCTGTGATTGGACATTCTCATCGAGATCCCTGTGATTGGACCTTTTCATAGAGATCCCTGTGATTGGACATTCTCATAGAGATCCCTGTGATTGGACATTCTCATAGAGATCCCTGTGATTGGACATTCTCATAGAGAACCCTGTGAGTGCACCCTCTCATAGAGATCCCTGTGATTGGACATTCTCATAGAGAACCCTGTGAGTGCACACTCTCATAGAGATCCCTGTGATTGGACATTCTCATAGAGATCCCTGTGAGTGCACACTCTCATAGAGATCCCTGTAATTGGACATTCTCATAGAGATCCCTGTGATTGGGCATTCTCATAGAGATCCCTGTGATTGGACCTTTTCATAGAGATCCCTGTGATTGGACATTCTCATCGAGATCCCTGTGATTGGACCTTTTCATAGAGATCCCTGTGATTGGACATTCTCATAGAGAACCCTGTGAGTGCACACTCTCATAGAGACCCCTGTGATTGGACATTCTCATCGAGATCCCTGTGATTGGACCTTTTCATAGAGATCCCTGTGAGTGGACATTCTCATAGAGAACCCTGTGATTGGACATTCTCATAGAGATCCCTGTGATTGGACATTCTCATCGAGATCCCTGTGATTGGACCTTTTCATAGAGATCCCTGTGATTGCACATTCTTATAGAGATCCCTGTGAATGGACATTCTCATAGAGATCCCTGTGATTGGACATTCTCATAGAGATCCCTGTGAGTGGACATTCTCATCGAAAACCCTGTAATTGGACCTTTTCATAGAGATCCCTGTGATTGGACATTCTCATAGAGATCCCTGTGAATGGACATTCTCATAGAGATCCCTGTGAGTGGACATTCTCATCGAAAACCCTGTGATTGGACCTTTTCATAGAGATCCCTGTGATTGGACATTCTCATAGAGAACCCTGTGAGTGGACATTCTCATAGAGATCCCTGTGAATGGACATTCTCATAGAGATCCCTGTGATTGGACATTCTCATAGAGATCCCTGTGAGTGGACATTCTCATCGAAAACCCTGTAATTGGACCTTTTCATAGAGATCCCTGTGATTGGACATTCTCATCGAGATCCCTGTGATTGGACCTTTTCATAGAGATCCCTGTGATTGGACATTCTCATAGAGATCCCTGTGATTGGACATTCTCATAGAGAACCCTGTGAGTGGACATTCTCATAGAGATCCCTGTGAATGGACATTCTCATAGAGATCCCTGTGATTGGACATTCTCATAGAGATCCCTGTGAGTGGACATTCTCATCGAAAACCCTGTAATTGGACCTTTTCATAGAGATCCCTGTGATTGGACATTCTCATCGAGATCCCTGTGAATGGTCATTCTCATCGAGATCCCTGTGATTGGACATTCTCATAGAGATCCCTGTGATTGGACATTCTTATAGAGATCCCTGAGATTGGACATTTTCATCGAGATCCCTGTGATTGGACCTTTTCATAGAGATCCCTGTGAATGGACATTCTCATCGAAAACCCTGTGAGTGGACATTCTCATCGAGATCCCTGTGATTGGACATTTTCATCGAGATCCCTGTAATTGGACATTCTCATAGAGATCCCTGTGATTGGGCATTCTCATAGAGATCCCTGTGAGTGGACACTCTCATAGAGAACCCTGTGATTGGACATTCTCATAGGGAACCCTGTGATCGGACATTCTCATAGAGATCCCTGTGATTGGACATTCTCATAGGGAACCCTGTGATTGAACTGTTTTACTGGCTCAGAGCATATGCGCACAATCTGAGCTGACACGGGGATAGAGGGAGAACGTGCAGGAGGGATATTCAATACATTTTTTTTTTAAACCGATTTATGTAAGGAGGGAGCACACAGCGGGAGAAAGAACATTCTTAACCTTGCATGTACTCTGCCTGCAAGGTACAAAAGTAATACGTCTGTCGCCAGCGAGCCGTGCACACTGACAACAGGTGTAAAATATACACAGAATTGACATTAAGCAGCCTGGTACCTGGCACGTAAGTGCAAATACCTGTGAATGTACAGCGTTTAAAGCAGAAACACCGCGCATCCAGTCTCCTACCACCATGACCACTTCAAATCACGGACGCGGTCATGGTGGTTGGAGAAGCCCTCTAAGAAACTGACTGGTTATTTAAATAAACAAGTTTCATTGATGTTTAATTTGTAGGATTAATAATACATATTTGCTTTCTCTTTGTTATTGTCTCTGGGCATGCATTCTGAAGGGACGCTCTGCGCGCAGCATTAGCTGAGGTACACGCTGTGGTTTGTGCAGGAGCCACGAACTCCACCACCGATTTGCTGAAACTGCAGTTTGTAATAAATCCCTGTTGACGGAGATCGTTATAACAAGGAATATAGCCGTGGGCAGCGAGGATATACAGCCAAGGATGCAGTTCACATTTCCCACCAGCAGGAGGCAATCCAAACCCTCAGACGAAACGGACAGTCCTGTGAAATGTCGGCAGCTGATATCGTACCCAGAACTGGGAAAATGTAAAGATGGCTGAAAAACACGGTAAATTAGATTTTCTTGTTGGCTGTGAAGAACATGGAAATGATTAGTGATGCTCAGTTCGTAACAGAATTCTGTAAATGTTCTGATTATGGACACTGGATAAATATTCATAAAAAAAACAGCGTGTTTTAATCTCGTCTCCGAGGCAGAGAACAGGGAGTCTTGAAATGTCGATAAACTCTTCCAGTTGTTCAGCCATGATAAACTCACATTGTGGCTGTGGACTGAACGCTGCCCCTGGTGGACGAGGTGGTGCATTTCATTCCAGCCACTGGCGGGGAGCCGCTGTACTTAGTTGCACTGAATTATGTTTTATTTTAGGCGATGATTTACCTTTGGCAAGGGGTGAGGAATAGGATTCTAATGCTGGATAAAGGAACTTCTCTCAATGAAGTTGTTATGGTGTCAGGAGTGTTTGAGAGCTTTCTCATGTTCTTGGAGTAAACAGGTTTCCAGTGGTTTTACCCTGTACTTGGTTCATCGGCACCCAACGGCAATGCCTCCCGTCTCCTTCCTTTATCAGCCTCAGTGATCAGGATGGTTTGCGGGAAGCTGGTGATAGGCTGAGAGTGTCAGCAATGTCTCAGCCAATCGGTGGCCACCACACAAATCTTCCTCGTACTGCGGCCCAGGGGGAAGGAAGAGATGAGGCAGAGCTGCCTGGGTACTGCAGGACCAACTTTGGGTTTATACTGAAAATTGCTCACTTCCTGAGCATTCTCATGCACTCCTGCCACCATAACAACTTAATGAAGAGAGTGTCCCCTGAGAATCTGCCCATTCATTTTAATGAAGAATTAAAGAGGGATTGTTTCTTTCTTAACCAAACAAATCTACCAGCATGTTATCCTTATCCTCATTTAAATAAGTTTCAACGCAATGGCCACTAAAGTGAAAAGTCACATGCACCACGCATGCACACATGCTGCACTGATCGAGAAATGCAGAGAAAGCATTTCTCCACCAGATGCCAAGCATGCATGCATGTGCCCAGGTCATCATAGGGTTATAGGGTTGCATTAAACACTAGTTGGGCTAACTGACAATCTACCCATTTACTCTGAGAATCTACCCATTCACCATAAGAATCTGTTCATTCACCCCGAGAATCTGCCAATTACCCTACTGAGAATTCTACTGAGAATCTACCCATTCATTCTGACAACCTGCTCATTCACTTTGACAATCTGCTCATTCACCCTGATAATCTGCGCATTAACCCTGATAATCTGCCTATTCATTCTGAGAATCTGCCCATTCCCACTGAGAATCTGACAATCTACCCATTTACCCCGAGAATCCGTCCATTCACTCTGAGAATCTGATAATCTACCCATTCAGCCTGAGAATCTCCCCATTCACTCTAAGAATTTGCCCCATTCACTCGAGAATCTTCCCATTTACTCTGAGAATATACCCATTCATTTTGAGAATCTGCACATTAACTTTGAGAATAAACCCATTTTCTGCCCATTCACTCTAAGAATATACCCGTAATTCTGAGAATCTACCCATTTTCTCTGAGAATCTGCCCCATTCACCCTGAGAATCTGCCCCATTCAACCTGAGAATCTACCCCCTTCACCCTGAGAATCTGAAAATTCACCCTGAGAATCTGCCTATTTGTCATTTGTCTGTCACCCTATTTTTTGCAGATCCCTTCCTGCGTCTCTGATCAGAGCTGGTGATGGCCAGGATATTAGTGTGAGCTGTTTTCTCATCGATCTTCTCTGTGTGGCTGTATGAAACCCTGCCTGCCGCAAGCGATGGAATGAAAAGTTAAATCCCACTTCTAACCGCCGAGCTTTCTGGAGCAGTTTATCTCCTATCAGGGAGGAGAGATGGAGCTATCGGAGTCAGTTAAACGCCACGAGGAGGAAATTAGTTTTTATTTTCTGTCACCTCTCCAGAGTAATGGGATTTGGAGCGAAGATGGAGAAAAGTGTGGAGTGCGTTAAATATACTCTATCCACCCGTTACTGTCAGTTAAATAAATGAGAACATTTCATAAAACTAAAGCCTTTTTTATTATTCAAAGTTTCAGCAGAGGTGACAATCTGAATAAACAAAAAACCATCAAAAAACACTCAATAAAATGAGGAATATTGCACAAGATGAGCAGAGAACACGAATGACATATCCGTCCAGTGATGTGTCTCGTTTCAATAGAAATACTTTTATTAATGGTAGCATTGATGGCTGAAGGTTTCTAGCATAAACTGTGCCAGCGCAAATCAGCTGCAAGAGGTATAACCAGTCTGCCAGGCACAAACTGTGCCAGCGCTAACCAGCTGCAGGGGGTATACCCGCTCTGCCAGGCTTAAACTGTGCTACCATTAACCAACCACAGGGGGTATAACCAGTCTGCCAGGCACAAACTGTGCCAGCGCAAATCAGCTGCAAGAGGTATAACCAGTCTGCCAGGCTTAAACTGTGCCACCATTAACCAGCCACAGAGGGTATAACCGGTCTGCCAGGCTTAACCTGTGCCACCATTAACCAGCCACAGGGGGTATAACCGGTCTGCCAGGCTTAACCTGTGCCACCATTAACCAGCCACAGAGGGTATACCCGCTCTGCCAGGCTTAAACTGTGCCACCATTAACCAGCCACAGAGGGTATAACCGGTCTACCAGGCTTAAACTGTGCCACCATTAACCAGCCACAGGGGGTATAACCGGTCTGCCAGGCTTAACCTGTGCCACCATTAACCAGCCACAGGGGGTATAACCGGTCTGCCAGGCTTAACCTGTGCCACCATTAACCAGCCACAGGGGGTATAACCGGTCTGCCAGGCTTAACCTGTGCCACCATTAACCAGCCACAGGGGGTATAACCGGTCTGCCAGGCTTAACCTGTGCCACCATTAACCAGCCACAGAGGGTATAACCGGTCTGCCAGGCTTAAACTGTGCCACCATTAACCAGCCACAGAGGGTATAACCGGTCTGCCAGGCTTAAACTGTGCCACCATTAACCAGCCACAGGGGGTATAACCGGTCTGCCAGGCTTAACCTGTGCCACCATTAACCAGCCACAGGGGGTATAACCGGTCTGCCAGGCTTAACCTGTGCCACCATTAACCAGCCACAGGGGGTATAACCGGTCTGCCAGGCTTAACCTGTGCCACCATTAACCAGCCACAGGGGGTATAACCGGTCTGCCAGGCTTAAACTGTGCCACCATTAACCAGCCACAGACGGTATAACCGGTCTGCCAGGCTTAACCTGTGCCACCATTAACCAGCCACAGGGGGTATAACCGGTCTGCCAGGCTTAAACTGTGCCACCATTAACCAGCCACAGAGGGTATAACCGGTCTGCCAGGCTTAACCTGTGCCACCATTAACCAGCCACAGGGGGTATAACCGGTCTACCAGGCTTAAACTGTGCCACCATTAACCAGCCACAGAGGGTATAACCGGTCTGCCAGGCTTAACCTGTGCCACCATTAACCAGCCACAGACGGTATAACCGGTCTGCCAGGCTTAACCTGTGCCACCATTAACCAGCCGCAGTATTTATACACAGCCATATAATTTCCAGACTCTTAAAATCCAGTATTTTTGCCTTAAATTTGCAGTTGTTTTTTCTGTTCACTACAAATGCGCGTTATGTGAATAAATCTGGATGGCGATAACTGAGAAAGCAATTCTGGGGCAAAGTGCTAAAAGTGGAACAATCAGCAGAAATCTTCTATTAGTTTCCATGGCGACTGCTCCGTGTTTAGAACTTTGCTTCAGATTTCTTCCCATTAACCAACCCTCGCCACGTACACCACTCATTAAGAGATTGCGAGCGGCTCGATCTAGAATACCACGAAATTCACTACAATCATATTTTCCATATTTTTCACTCACCCAGAACAGGGCGGGCAGACACGGCGCTAGCCAAACGCAACATTTTACATTTCAGTAAAGTCCATTAATGGAGGAAAGTATCAGAAAATGTTTCTGTCTGATGTTTTTGATTTTAACTATACCAAAAAAAAAACCCTGTATTCATGTTTGTTATAGGTATAAGGAAGTAGAAAAAGGTGGCGCCACAGAGATAATATGTACGATTAAATATAAGCAAGTAGTAATATAGAATAACAATGATATATAATACAGAGAGAGAGAACAATACAAATAATAATATGTATATATATATAGAACAGTCCAAAAAGAGTCCAGTAACACCTTGGGACGAGAGAACCTCGAGAGTTCTAGCTGAGGTAGAGACGTCTATGGAGTAGTGGGATAAAGGGGTTTGTGGGATCCGTATGAAAGAGAAAAGAAAATCTAATTGTGCAATAAAACCCAAATAGGTAGCAGCCAATAAAAAAGGTCTATATGGCCCTACTCAGGTTTTTGAGAGCTAAAAACTAGCTCTAGAATAAACAGCGTACAGTGTATACTCCCCACTTATGGGATACGTGAGGGAGTGTTGTAAGCAGATATCTCATCTGATGAGGACCATATGTAACATAAAAAACAACAATAAAACCCGGAGAGTGTATAAAAAGACCAAATGGTTACTCACATTTAATTGGGCAGACGCACTGCTCAGTGATAGGGAGTAAGTGGTATAATCCCTACCAAGGATGCTTTGGAGTAGTATCTCTCTGGAACAAGTAAAACTCAGATGCCAGGTAGTAAAATAATAAAAATGGTAAAAAAGTTAAAATGGCTAGCTCACAACAAAGAAAGTGGTCAAAATACCTTTATTAAAATACAGTTAGTTAAAATTTCCACAATGCGTTTCTCCCCTTAGGGCTTTCTCAAGTGCATAAAAAACAGTTGTTATAGGTTTAGATTATTAAATATAATATACATGGCGCCAATAAATTCCCAGGGCATGCAACATCAAAAAAGGGTGTTTTCTATAATTTGATAGATACAAAGTAATGCGGTACGCAAGTTTACAATCTAATCTTACTCTCTGTCTCCATGCCCCATTCGTGATTGCGCAGCTGTATGTGTTAACAGAAAGCCAAGCACAGCGTAGGACATTAGTCATCAATGAGGGGGACTGGTCTGGCTGCGCAATTTGCCAGATCTGTCCAGGGGGCCGGGGATGTACGTGCCAGCAAATTGATTGGCCAACTAAGTCTTTACCATTTGTCACGACGCAAAGGTCTTTGTTGTTACACACAATCTATATTTTAATTGTATTTTCCCCAGTGCAGTCTCTTGCAATCGGTATAATGAATAATCCTTTAGCATGGTAAATAAACGGAGTAAGTGAACTATTTATTTTCTCCTGTCTTCATACCGTTACTTGGCAACATTGCATTAACGTGAGAGAATCGCACTAACCGTATTAATGAAGACGCTCTCTGTCTGCTACTCATTCCAGGCGTCGTGGAAATTGTATCCACGCAAGAAATAAAATAAATAAAACGACAGCAAGGGTCATTCTCTCAGTGGCTCTCGAAGTGCACCAAGTCGCTTTGCTGTACATATAGGACACAATATCAGATTTTTTTTAAAGCAATTGTGAATTTTACGTATGAAAATTTTCTTTAAACCTTTGACAGTACATGAAAAGCATGGAAAATAAACTCCGTTATTAAAGGTAAACTGTCCCTTCCCAAGATTTGGAATATTTTGTTTATTTAGTTTATTGGGTCTGAACGTAGAAATCCAAAGCATGGTATTTTACACTATCCTGGAATTGTACACCGCCATCTTAGCTGTTACTAACTTTGCCCTTTGAACCTGGCTGTCAGAGAGAGGCCAGGCTGTGCCACAGTTCAACTGCTTTGTGATATCATCTGCAATATGTATTTCATAGAAATTTAAATAAAAACAGAGATTAACGCAAGTTCCAAGCGATCCCTGACATTCTCAGCTTATCACAGGACGCCCGTCATGAGTTCGTTTATGTACGTGTCTATCATTTATGTAACGGACCGTTTTCGCCCACAAGAGGTTAAAAACCGTTTAGGTTATATAGATATTCCCCTTTCCGATGCACAGACAGCTACTGCAATCACTAATCTCCCGAACTGCAAACTACACGAATTCTCCAACTCCCGAAAAGGAAACTTACAAATACTGCTAGGGGCAGCTAGTGATAGACTGAGAACGCCACTGTGTGCGCCTTGCTGTAGCGATAATGACTCCATATTAACTCAGAGCTGCAGAACTGCACCAAGGGACGTATCGTAAATCTTTAACTGTTCAAGAATGGTTTCACACTTAAAAGTAAGATAGCGCAGGATGACGCCAGGCACCATACCTACATCAATGAGGTGAAGCTGTTATGGTACCAGAAGGACTCCTTTAATGATTTCCTAGCTTGCGGCGTATAGATTTTACATGCTTTTCGTGTGCTGCCCGCCAGAACGATGGTGTGCTGTTTGTCCACGAAAACATGGATCTGCAGCCCTGGTTTTGCTCCAGCAATGTCTCCTTAATTCATGCTTCCCCCTCAATGAGCCTCCGAATGGTGTGCGTTCCAATGTGTGCAACACTGACATCTTAGCACGTTATAAATAATATATCTCGTTGTGATTTATATTGTCTGAATAAATGAATGTAGAAGCATCTTGGAGCATTTGTTTGTATTGTACGTGCTCAGATAAATGGTGCTGGTGGTAATAATAAGACGGTTTTCCATCTTGGTTGTGTCCTGTGTATTAGAGCTATCCGTAATAATGAGCGATAATAAATAACCGTGGCCTGCGCTCTGCGCACTGCTCTCCTGAATACATCTATCAGACAGCGGCATTCGCTGTGATCCTCGTCTTATCTAGCTGAGCAATGACTCCCGGAGGGAGTGAGGGGGGAGGGAGAGGACCATGCTTTCAGATTAGCACCAGAAGCTAAAATCAGAGGCAGCGACTGCTATTACACTGACAGGGTAGTTGATCTATGGCTGGGCCTCCCTGCAGCTAGGGTACACACATTTAATGGAGAGATTAGAATGATAACAAGGTGACTTTATTGGAGGAGATTACAAATGCAGAAAGTGAGAGAAAATGGTAGAAATTTCTTTTTTCTGGGTTTTCAGTTTGATCACTCAATGGGGCTCAATACAATATTAATGCAGGGGGATGTG